CAAGCCGGCTAACACATCCTCAGACCTCCGAGTCGGGCTCAAAACGCGCAGCTGCTGCTGACTCAGCAGCTAGGTATCATCTGAGTCCTAAAAGAATATCTTACAATGTAGGGGATAACAGTTAGTTAACCATGGTAAAAAAATTGGAAGTAGTTCCTTAACTTCTGTATTTTGGCACACGCAAAAGACACGCAGAGCAATATCGCCGCGTCATGCGATCGCGCTAAGTTAGTGGGCATCATTACCAAAGGTCCAATGTACTGCTAGTTTGCAGGTGGACGGCATAAACGCTATATTTCTATCAAAGTTCAAACGCCGGAGTCTGGACACCAATATCTGATGGCTTAAGCTGAGGGCAAACTAGTCTGAAAGGGTCTGTAAGCACTTTGGTCCTGTACGTTTTCCCCCACAGCCTCTCATCTCAAAGGATGTATTCGACGATTAGTCCAAAACTCAGAACAAATTGTCGCTTGGTAAGACGACCTACTACATGTCTTCCAAGAAGTCCGGTGCTTAGCAATAGAAGTCGGGCGGAAAAGGCGTTTTAGGGCGGAGAAGGTTGAATCCGGAAACTGAGCGCCGCAATTACAAACAAGCACGCGTTTACCCATTTGCTACAGCATTCTGAGTGTTGTTAGCGAAGAATACAAACAATTCCTTGTGGAGAAAATTTAAGGAAACGTTGTGATGATGGTCAACCCATTCTTCTTCCGACCCGCCAAATAGTGGTGAGGTAGAGAGTTATTACTCCAGTAACTGCTAAAACGCCACGGTAAGTAATGCTTATATTCAACCGAGGATGGTCAGCAGGTCACCTTAGTACATTTCACGTGGTTTGACCGTTCAGCGAGCAGATTTGCAATACCTGATCTACCTCAGGAAATATTATTCTGGACTTTGTTTTCAATAAGGATTACCTGGCAGGATTGTAAAACACATTATCATACAGCATAATACGATGAAAGTTGAGCCACAAAAATACACCGCTTTCGAATGAGCTTCCTTCCGGCTGCCAGCAAAAACTACACTGCAAAAATGACTGCTTAAGCCGTAGGATTTTTTTATATTGACTTATGTTGGCCCTTATAGATTCAAATATTTCTTAAAGAAAGCGGGAATAAGAATATTTTCCTATTTATCCATTTGGTAGCAAATTATGATGCAGAAAGGAAATATGTCTGTTTAGAAAATGGTTGCAATTATGAAGTTTTCGCGATCGTGAGGTGTCTATTCATAAAACATCCTGCCTACCACGAGCACCCCGAAAGCCAACATCTTCAACACACTGACTCTGTCATGCAAGAGATGAGGGAACAATGAGATAAATAATCATCCCCCCTAACCCCAAGAACCATTTAAGCACTGTACATAATTGACTAATTTATTTTCCATGTCAATGTGAAGACCCTACGATGAGTGATCGAAAACAGCTATTTGCAAAAACTACTTCTAACTCTAACAAAGGAAGTTTCGCAGAGCATCGTAGCTGTTTGTTTATTAATGCTGTTGATGAAGTATAAAATATGGCTGGCATTAACTGCAAACCTGTATGAGCACTAAAGAACATCTTCTAAAAACGGAAACTAAATGAATGATTTTTTCTTACCCAGAAAGTATACAGCATGCAGTCTGCAAAACCTAAGTATGCACATGTGTAACCGCAGGTCGGGTTTAAAATTATTTAGGAATTAAAAACTGCTAAAAATCAAAAAATGGCAATGCTTCAAGTATTGTGTTTAAATAAGACGTAATGACCCGCCGATTAAGTAAAAGAAAAAAAATATTTTCATTCATGTCTTCTATAAATTATATTTAAATTGCCAAAGACATCGAAAGTCGATGTGAAAAAAAACAGTACTACTTACTCAGTAACTTTCTATCAAATGTTTTTGTTGCAGTAGGTCAGAAAGAAGTCCATTTAAAAGACCACATTGTGTCCGAGCAGAAATATCGTGGTATTATGCTGTATGGTACACAGCATGAAAACACAAATTGCATCATCTGTTAACCGAAAACGCATTTACGAAGTTTGGTTACCATTTCATGAGATAGGCCAGCTACTGTATCTACAGGCTAGAATAAGAAAGTTGGCTTTTAGGGCAAGACATTCTGGTTGGCGACTATATATCGCAAGATATGGCAAACTGACAACGACAAATAAGCCAAACCGAACATTCCAGTCAAGGGGAATTGAAGTGGCCAAGGCCCGTGATCGTTGCCTGCCACCCTCATTCGCTTACCGTCCAAGTACAAACAGTAAAAAAGGGGACGGTGTACGCGTACCCAGTCGTAAGAGGAGTTCAAAGGGTTTACAGAACATCTCGTTTGCGCTGAAGTAGGGCAGCTCGGTCCGAGCGGAGACCAGGGCGACTATGCATTCGTGCAGGTGGCTAAGGGCACGATGACTAACAAACAATTGCTGTGCCTGGTCCACGGCACCGCCGCCGCTTCCGGAGGCATCGGTTTGTTTTGAGAACGCAGTGGCGGTTGATGAGAAGCAGCAGGCGTCAACAAAATGTTGCGAAGCTGGCATCCAGAGCAGGAGGAGGTGTATGAGGGGCCGGTCGGTGGA